TTGCAGCAAAATGAACAGTAGTATTACAAACTGACTGAATATGTCCAATATCACCACATTTAAAGCACTTAGAATTACGAAATTTACATGGATTAAAAGAGTAGAACCTGCCACAGGACAAACATTGATCAGTCTTGTGCCCATTTTCGTGAACTGCATCGCAACTCCTCAATGGATTATCATTAGTTCATTCGAATGCCACAAATTCTCAGCACAAAGTATTTCAACAAGTTTCCTTTTTTCATTTCTTGATCGATCCCGACGATAAATATCGAATGGTCACCAGTTAGAAGTTAGCAGTCCACTGAATAGACATCTAAATAATATACATTCTTTTCGCTGCATATTACCAGCAACTACGATATGTTTGATTGGATGTTTTGTATTTTGTACAACGAAAGGTTGTACAGTTTTCAGAAACGTACCTGAATAGGTTATGCGATTGATAAACATAATGATGTATTAAATCAAACGAAAATAAATAACTTGTTAAAATATCTAGATGACAGGAACAGGTAACCCAGATGTTCAAGCAGGCTGCCAAGTTCAGAGTTTAATTGAGAATATTGAGTATAGTGATTCTCAATTAAGACTTCATCTTTGTATATACACAATGTGCCACATTTCAGTAGAAATGCCTAACCATATCAAACACTAAATCAAATTTCGATGCATTTCTTTTGTTGTTGAAATTTTACTTCATCAAGATATATCATTCAGCATTAACAAAGATTCATAGATAAAAGTGGCATAGTATTTCGGAAAATAGACGATTTTAATCATTTGATTGATTTTGCTGAAATTGTCTTGTTATATTCCAACTAGACGAGAATTGTTGACAAAAAATGTAATGACGAACTCCTTCATTAATATCTGAAGTGCTGGAACTATGATGTTTCTATAGACGTGTACGTTACTCAAGGTTGTACATAATTTTGAAATTTTATAAAACAGTCAATGAAATATCTACATCAGTCAAAACTGATAAATATTACTTCTCAGTTGTCATTTTCAAGTTCTATCCAACATTGTTTGTGGCACTTCCACAAAGCTATTGAAATATAGATTTGACTGTAATAACAGTTGTTTGAGATCTCATGTTCCTTTAAAAGAGCTGAAGTTTAGTGAGTATGAATTGTGCCGTCGAATTCTTGATGTTGATCTTCAGAAATGTAATTTTCGTTGTAGCTGTTTGATGGCTTTGAAAAATGTCTGTCAAGTGGTCGTTGGTTTTAATTCTTAATTACAGCTGTCCTTCATTGTTTGACGACTCATTAATGATACCCCTACTGACACATTTGACCACACACTTGGACGCTTAAAACTGAGTTTGTTGAGATAATTAAAAGTCAAATAACCTAATCTTACTTGTGATGTGCAACAATCAGCTGAATTTCTACTCTAGTTTTTGGCACATGAAATCAGACATGTCATTAACTCTTCAGGATCCGATAGACGATATTCAATGTAGTAACAATCTAAATACGTGAAATTTTGTCATTCAACAGTCAATGATACTTCGGTTTAAATACAATGATTGAAAGTTGCGTGTTGGTTTCAAGTTGCTTAAGACTATATCACTGATTGTCCGTATCGGTATTACAAATAAATTAGTTATCAATAAAATGAGTATCCAGTGAGAACAAACGAACACTCCCTAGTTAACAGTGAGGAATATCTATACGAATTCAATCACTTAGAGTATATCATGGCGAAGTGTTTGAAATATGATGTAATCTACAGCCGAAAGTGGCTACTTTTAGTATAGGGTAAACTTCAAGTCGAAAGCCATACTCGATTATGCTGGGAGACTTAAATGATAAACATCAGCAACAAGAAAGGAACCAGTTTTAACAGACATGTTTTGTTGTTCCACTGGGACTGTCATACTGGCGGTTGAAATTTCTGACTTAATTTTTTAAAACGTTTAGGGTAAAATAATAAATATTCAGGAATAAGTGATTATGGCTCATTAAATGTTAATTTACATGAGACTATATGTATGGAGAACATAATGCTGTTCCATTTTAACATACTGTTTGCATAACGTAAGTATATGATATTTAAAAGAAGGCATTTTTTATGTTCATCAGTTGTACGTCAACGATTCCGATCGTACTTCTCCTCAAGATTTCAGTAAATATTTCTTAACTACTCTAAACCTTATTCAAACATCGCGTTTCATTATAATGTCAATTGATTTAGTTGTTTCTGATCCCGTGTGTTCTACTTCAAGCTATGAACCCTTAGTTTCTGGGTTCATATATACTGTTTTTCAGTTCCTTACAATCAGACTTTTGATTTACTTTTACTATGAACGTCCTCTTACAGGTCATACTCTGTTCATCTTTGCAATGACTGATCTCTTAACCATAGATTCGTTTCTCGACTTAATATATGCAGATCACACATTTATGTTGAGTGTGAATGGTGGCATAATACAGGGTCTCTTGATCACCTAGAGTTACGATAAAAGCCTTGTTTAGGCGACTCATTGTGGAATCACTAAGTGAAATATGTTGGGTTTATTTAAAAGCCTTTTCAGAAACTCCGTAATTTGGTTTATGAGACTGGATCCTCACAAATAAAGTGTTCCGGACTGGTATCACACTAGTCAAACCACCGTCAAGTTGGATGCATGATACTGACCGATGTAGAAGTAGTCTGTAAGGAAACTGATAACGATTAAGATCGTCTGGACTATGGTCGTCAACTATGGAAATGTTGAATGACATGGTTTAGAATCGATCACAATTGAAAGATACTTTCACATTTCATCGTTCTCTAGATCCTGTGTTCAAAGAGACTTGTTAAAACACCTAAGGATTCTATATTTCTTATTGTCATTTCAAATTATCATGCTAATATGGCTTGGCAGCTTGGTATGAAACAGCTTCGTCCACGTTTATTTAGTCAATCAGCAACAACGCAGAACTTCGTACGTACGTACATCAGTTCGAGTTGTCATACCATAGATAGTGATAGAGGTAGTAAAAGTTCAGGCAATAATCGGAAAGATTGGGGTTTCAAAATGTTATTCAAAAAATTGTTGTCCAGTGAAATAAATTCAGAAAGAGAAAAAAAAGGATACGAAGAATTCAGAAGATTATAATTTGAGAGAACACGAAGAGTGGATGCACCTGCGCCACTGCAAACGATTTTGAGTCATATCATTGAAGGTCTCTAACCATCGGTTGATTTCGTCTTGCGGATCCCAACCAGGTAGTCTTCACTTACTAACATGGCACATTTCACTCGTCAATGACTTCATGGATTTGTGCCATGTTTTGACCCTGGCTACCCCTGGCTTTCTTCTAACCTACTCCTACACCGTAAAACATCGCACGTCGGGGCAGTCAGTGGTTGGGCATACGTAACACATGTCACAGCCATCTTAACTGCTGAAACTTCACTACTTCATCAACTGATTTGCTAAACTTACCTAGTACCTGTTTCCTAACATCTACATTACTTAATTGGTGATCCCAAGATATAAGAGGAATCCTTTGAAGACACCTATGATGACTATTTTCCAAATACGTTTAACAGAATAAAACAAGATTTATCAGACTAATCTACAATTTTTCTTTAAATTTAAACTTTATTCATAAAGTAACCAATTAAATGTCAATACAATTATGTAATAATCTCAAAAAAAAAACATTTCTAAACTAATAGGATTATTACAATGTAATGAACAATATCAAACATGATTTTGTTTAAAATTGTAGTAAAGCTGAAATTGAAAAGAAAGAAATTTCCAATTATTCTACACATAGAATAGATTGATTAATATAACAATATGTAAAGGTAAATATGATATTTCACTGGTTGAAATCATGAGTCAATTGAAGCTAGACCACCATGGAAAACTTGGAAGCACTGGACGGCTGTTTCGTTCTAGTATGGGACTCTTCAGCAGTGCCCATCCACGATCCCGCCCTCCGCGAGATTCGAACCCAGAAGCTACCGGTCTCGCACAAGGCACTTAACCAACTAAACCACTGAGCCCACCGGCCAATGTCTAACTTCAACTAAATATGATATTCTTTTCCTTAATATAATAATCATCTAGTGTTTGTTTCTGTTTTTTCAGTATGATATTCTATTCAGTATAACATACGATATTCTTGTATTTAATGAACATGGACTATGCTCAGTATGATTTTCTTATCAATCTAATTACTTTACATATATGTGATTTTATCTAGTGTTAAGAAATCTTCATCGTTGGAATTGCAGTAATTCCTTATTTTTGAGTATAAATGATCAGCGATTCCGATATAATAATCAGTAATGATCATATCTAACAAGTAGCGTTCAATCAGAAGACATATCATTGACTTACTTACTTACTTACTTACTTACTTACTTACTTACTTACTTACTTACTTACTTACTTACTTACTTACTTACTTACTTACTTACTTACTTACACCTGTTACTCCTCGTAAAGAAGCATAGGCCGCTCACTAGCACTCGTCATCCAACCCTGTCATCAGCAATCTTTTCCAGTTATTTCCAGTTGTTATTCATTCTTTTCATATCTGCTTCTATTTCTCGACGTAATGTGTTCTTTGACCTTCCACTTTTCCACTTCACTTCAGCATTTCAAGTCAACACATGTTTCGTGATGCAGTTTGGTGATTTCAGTCATCTATATCCAATCTATTTCCATTGTCTTTTCCTAATTTCCTCTTCAGGTGGAAGCTAGTTCGTTCTCTCTCACAGAAAGGTTGTTGCTGATGGTATCCGGCCAATGGATATTGAGTATCACACATCATTGAATACATAGTTAATCTATCAGTCGTTATAGAGTTTATAACAACTGAAAGATTTGTTGTCTTTCATCTTATCTGTCAGCCAACTTAAAATATATTCATTGACTACAAGTATTAATCTAACAGTAACTTTATTGAATCTGACATGATCAATTGTTTTAATAACTATTAAATATGTTGTATTCGTCGTATTCTCAAGACAAGTCTAAATACAATAAGTCAATCTCGAATAATATCATAATACAATACTTGACATAGAGATGAACATAAAATAGCACAAAATAATTGATTATTAGGATAAAGTAGAGAGAAAATCTCATTTGCATTACCACCAAATCTCTTTGCTAAAGGTATTAATTCATCAACATTTCTCGCAGCCAATTCGTACATAACTGAAATATCAGAGAAAACTCAAGTGAATATTTTGTACAATAAAATAAATATTTATTATTAATCTATCATTTTCACTATAGGGTTGTGAAGATTATTATGTTTTTGATTGAAATCATGAACTGGTAGATGTTAGACCTCTGCTGAGGAGGAGTCTCACAATAGGACGAAACAGTCGTCCAGTGCTTCCAGGTTTTTGATGATAGTCTAACATCAATTGGTTCATGATCTCAATAAAAAATATTTATCATTTTATTGGAAGTGATGTTAACTCCAAGTAGTTAACTGTCTACACAAATTTAAAAAGCCATATTAACGCCTTTTTAATTTTTTTTCCAAGTTCTCACAATTCATCGTTTTACTACTACATGATTCATATGTTAATGAACGAACTATTTGTGTGTATATGAATAAAAGAATTCAGAATATTTCAGTTTGTGATCTCAACAGTTACATTTTTAGTAAAAAACATACAATAAATTCACTTGACATTGTTTGTTTAATTCTTCCCATTGATATTTAGGACTGAAATTGATCAGTCTCATGTTGGCATATGTGCATACTGAGCGCATTGCCTTGATATAGCCTTAAGTCACAAGCATTGTATGCAAATATGGATAGTGGCTAGCACAGGAATCCAGGACGCGCGTTTCGTCCTATTCAAAACTCGTCAGCTGGATATACCTGCATCTCAGAGTTGATGTTCACTCTGGAGCTCGAAATCAGTACCGACCGCTTCAAACCCTATCACGTTATGCACTTAGCTACTGAGTCCTGATAGTCATATGCTTTTGCAATGCGGTGAAGTTTAAATTCACTTGGTATTGTTTACTTGACTCCTCCTATTGATGTGAGTGAACATCAACACTGGGATGCAGGTACATCTAACTGACGAATCCCAAATAGGAAGAAACGCGCGTCCTGGATTCCACTGCTAAAAACATACAATGTTGTGTGACTTTTACTTACATAGTCCATTATTAAACGACTTCATATTCATGTATTTTTTAGCAATCAAGTCATCTAGTTCCTTAATATCTGAAGAGAGGGAAAGAAAGTTATTTGTCAATTTAAGAAGTATTATACAAAATTCATCTTAACTTAACATCCATTATCAGTTTGACAATGGATATAAAGTATTCAAATCAATAACTTTAAAAATAATTATCCACCGCATTTGATAGTATCGAGTTACTGTTTCCCTATCTATTTATAGATATGATGTGCTTTCTTCAATTATGTTTCATAAAAAACACCATTACTTTTGAATTAAGATATGAGTAGTGACAATATTACGAACAAAATTTTGAATAGCAGGCCATCGTAATTGTGGTTAATTGATGAAGTATCATTTTATTTTTAAGCTTATTGTTTTCATTTAAATATCGAACATGATCAGAAGTTTATGAATTTGTGTAATTTGTACAAGAACTTTGAATTACGTTAACAGGGTTTCGAATTATCAACGTGTTGTCGTTAATTTCTTAGATGTTCTGTTGTCCATGTAATATTGATACGTTTATACACTAAACTATGTGCAAACTCCGACTTTAGTATTACCTAATTACGCCTGTTACCACGTCAACCAGTATTCTCCAACCCACTCTGTCCTGGGCATTCCTTTCTAGTTCTATTCAATTTTCGTTCATTTTTCTGTCTGTCTTCATTTCTCGGAGTAATGTGTTCTTTGTTCTTCCTCTTCTCCTTTAGCCTTGGAGCTTCCATGTGAGGGCTTGTCTTATGACGCAGTTGGGTGATCTCCTCAATGTGTGTCCTATCCATTTCCAGCGCTTCTTCCTCCACTGGAATCTAGTTCGTTCTCTCCTGTAGTAGGTTGTTACTGATAGTGCGTGGCCAACGAATCCGAAGTATTTTGCGTAGACAACTGTTAATAAACACTTGTATCTTCTGAATGCTGGCTTTCGTAGTTCTCCAAGTTTCTGCCCCATACAGAAGAACCGTTTTGACACTTGTATTGAAAATTGTGACTTTGGTGTTGGTTGTAAGTTGTTTAGAGTTCCAGATGTTCTTCAATTCTACACTTGCTGCTCTTGCTTTGCCGATCCGCGCCTTCACATCTGCATCGGATATACCGTGTTCATCAACGATGCTGCCCGGATATATAAAGGTTTTAACATCTTCCAAATCTTCTCCGTGAAGTGTGATTCGATTGGTTCATGTTGTGTTGTATCGGAGAATCTTGTTTTTCCCTTTGTTAATATTGAGACCTACTGCTGCTGAGGCTGCTGCTACTCTGGTCTTCTTCTGAATTTTTTGTTGCGTGTGCGATAGAAGAGCCAGATCATCTAAGACTTTAGCACGATGGAGAATAATTTAAACCTAATTATGAACATTCAAAACACATTTGTAAAATTTTCATCAACCGAGAAGAATATCGTGAATTCATGGCGTGTCTAGACTTCCATAAGCTGATGAAGTTCAGTTCAATATTGTTTCAAGCTTTGCATAAAGTAACATTACAGATGTCACTTTAGGCCAATTGTAATGGAAGACATTTCTTGAAATAGTATGAATTCAGTTCATTCTGCAAATCATGTTCTGTTTGATTTGTTAAAATTGATCAAACGATCAAAAAGCATTAAACTTCTGGAAAATATGATGTTTTCATCTGAGTAATTCGATGAGCTTATCAGTGTTACCCTTTTGTTGCAAGAATCATTCAAAGAATTTATTAATAAACGAAGGTAGTAGACAGATAATCATTGCATTAAAATCGCGAACCAATCAAATTTAGGCAACTATTGATAAACTGAAAGCATTAGATATGTTTGATTCTCATTTACGATGTCATACATGAGGATTATTGTGAAGTCCCATACTATGACTTAACATCTGTCAAGTACTTGCCGGTTTTCGATAGTTATCAAACTTAGAACAGTTTTTTTTATTCCAATGAAATTCAACCATCTGCACAACCTCATACTTTTCATACTGATATATAATAAAGATCATTTATTTCTGTTTACCTTCTTCAGAGAATGTTTTAAATCGATTGCACTTTTCTTCATTGTTATTAGACTTCCTATCTGTAAATAACATTGTTTTTTTTACAAGAAAGTTGCTTCACTTGACAACGCTTTTAAAATTGATCAACTATGCGACCAGTGAACATCAATATTTAAAGCGGATAAAAACCGCGAAAATTCGTCTTGGTTACCAAATGTCTGACTAGATATACATCCCTGATGTCATAAATGATGAAAAATATTATTTTGCTTGTAAAACATTATAATATTGATTGAACTAGAAAAGTTATCAGGTGCGCTGGTAGGGCCGAGAGTGGGAAGAGTTTGCTCTCCCTCTCGAAATGCTCTCACATGGCCACGTGTATATAGCCTCTGCCAGGGAAGTCCCACTCACTGCCTTATCGTGTCGTGGATGTTGTTTGCGAAAATGAGAGGACGAAAAGCGGATGTCCAGCGCTTTAACCGGATCCCAAACCAATGGTGCACATGGGCCCCAGTATCCTGCGCGAACAAATGGCGTATGAACCAATTGTTGGTCACCGGCTTCCATGGAACTGCATCTACTTGCTATGCTCCACTGCCTTGTGGATCATACCTTCCGGTCGAGGGCTCGGGGAGTGGCCCCTTAAGAGAACCACCTGCTTCGGTTTGGGCACCCGGGCAGTATCACAGCCCTCACACATATCGAGTGAGATTTGTGTGGCGCATATGTATTTGGTGCTTCTTTGTACCAATATCTATGAGTTAAAATGAATAAATAAAATAAGTTGAATCTTTCAGTAGTCTCAGCCAACAACTAAGTGTAAACAGAAGACTGTGTAAATAGGAATGGTTCATTTTCTTAAATTGTATTGTAACAATTAAATGTTTTCTATATTATTGGTTCTGTAGTGAAGAAGAACATAAGTGGGGACAATCGAACGTATTTGAGCACAAGATTACAGAATATCTCACTAAAATCTGACAACCAAATAGTAAATACTTCATTTGCAAAATATCAATCAATTGTCTTAAACTTGATTGTTTCTTTTGCAAATATCAGTCCATCGTTTCAGATTTGATTGTTCATGCATTTTCATACTAATTGCTCTTCTTCTCGACCTTACACTGAAATACATTCTTTATCTGACCATCGTTATATACTACTTATGTAGATATAAGTAACTCACACCACAGTTTCAAGTCGATAATTTCACTTTGTAATGTTGATTTAAATAAAACGTTGAATTCGTTATGCAATTTTGATTCATAGAAGCATTGTTTAATGATCTGATTCGTTCTATCCTGTTTAAAGCTATCTATCTATCCGACAAAATTTATCTGTCCACCAATGTCTATCAAATGTGACTAAGTATTATATATCAGTATAAGTGCTGTGTTTTATGAATTGAACTCAAACGTTCTTAGCCAGTATCATAGTGATGATCATTTCGCTATATCAATGGAGCTCCCGTATAAACGATGATTCCATTTAATGCTATCTCAAACCTTGATCTGAATGATTAGTTAACCATACTTCCTAATATCATATGTAATCAATCGACTATACATCGGTTGTTTTATTGTGTTTGTATTTATCCAGACACTTTCATGATAAAATACTCATATAAGTGATCGCCGTAATTATCTGTGAGATTTTTCATTACTGTTCACTATGAATTTGAACTGAAGGGAATGATTACAAGAGAGCAAGGGAACAATAAATACTACTTGTCTTTGAGTTATGGACACTGGAGTGTTTATCTATAATTTATTCATTACCAATTTGTCTATGGTGAAATGTTATTTATGAGATGGTGGAGAAGATTTGTAGCTCAGGTGGATGATTTCGGTGGTGTTTTGTTCTCTGAGCTGGATGGTTTGGTCGTGGAGCTTTCATCGTTCTTCTGAACGACAAATGAGTAATGACCACGCTTAAATCGAACAAAAAATGTATATTTTATTATTATGGAGTTTAGTTCTTGGAGCTGGATTGTTTATTCATTCAGAAGAACGATGAAAGCTCCACAACTAAACCATCCAGCTCAGAGAACAAAACTCCATCAAAAACATCATCCACCTGAGCTAAAAATCTTCTCCACCATTTCAAAATCATATGAGTGAAGCGCATTTCTCGTTGTTTGAAAATGGGAGGATTTCGTCAAAATGCAGGCTTCTACTCGAGAACAACTGTATTTTCTCCACGAATATCTTTGTCAGCATTTCCTACCAACAAGTGTAAGATACAGTGCACTAATCAATTGTTCATTTGGATGGAGAATAGTTGAGTAAAGTGAAAGAAAAATGGCACACCTAATGATAACGGATATTTTATTAAGATAGCTAAATATTCATGAATATTTTCACTGACTTTCTGATATCTTTATTTGTTCTTTGAGGCAATTCTGCAGAGTTGTAAAATTACCATCTATTGTTTTGATGAAATACAAAGAAAGTAGACAAAATTAATTTCATAACACAATACGAAACATATATTATCATGACAATCAACTGTAAAGTTGACTTCAATTCAAATAGAGCATTGTCATAAAAGCAAGTTCATTATCCTCTTTAAAGTTTTGCACAACCTTTATGAATAGGATAATTGTACAAGAATAAATGTCGTAAATAGAATGTTTCCGATAGTGAGATTGTATATAATATCACATGGATAATAATGTAAAATAAGAAATCATACATGTTGTAAGCATCGTGAATGCCAATGATTCTTCTATTTCTAAAAGATTTAAATGAAAAGAAATAGTTATTCATTTCATTGGCATGTTAATTAAATAAGATGACATCTAGCAAAAACAATATCGAACTTTAGTCTAAATTAATAGTAAAAGAACATAAACGGAAAAAAAACTCCAAGGACCCTTCGACAGCAAAGGAACTTGACGAGTTTCTGCGTCATTCTGTCAAACTTGCGAAGTGAATGCGAAGATAAAAGAAGATACAATAACTATGATATAGTGTGCAACAATGATGGAGTTCTTGTATGAGCAGTTAAACTTCACTGTCGTTTTATGTTAGCAAGATACTTGTCAATAACATGCGTAAACATTTTAATAAGTAGACAATTGAATATCTGACCAATTACAAATGAGTAGGAATCAACTCTACAACAAGTAAGTGACTCTCTCTTCAGTTAAAATAATCCTGAATAGTAAGATGAATATATGCAAACAAATAACCGTCAACATGAAACTGTCATGTTATTTAAGCCTAATATTTCATTCATTTCAAATGATGTGGTTACATCTCGGTAGTGATAATATACAAGAGATTAATTGTTGAATCAGGATGATATTGTGGTGTGAGCTACTTATATTAATATAAGTAGTATATGATGTTAGTTGTGAACAGAAGGTCTGGCAGCAAAGAGACAAGACGATCGAACATTAAAAAAATGGAAACAAGATGCAATTTGTATGAAAATGCAAGATCGATGAAGTCTGAGTCACTATGACACAACTGGTGGACATTTTGTAAATTAAGCATTTACATTATGATTGTTAGATTTTATTAACAAGTCCTGTAATTTTGTGTTAAATGCATTCGATTGTCTCCACCCGTGTTCTGTTCACTACAATATGAAACATGGTGTATACATGTTTTCAACTGAATTCTGTTCGCCGAAATGATCTGAAATATTCAGGAATGTTATCAGGGCAACTATAATTTTATAATTTTATGCAACTTTCAGAAGTTACTGTAATGAACATGCGGAATAACTTATAATCTAATTCAATTGGATTAAAATAGAAAATGACTGAAATCAATCAATGTAATGATCTATGTATGTAATGAGATTTGCATAGAAATAAAGTTTATTTTATAATATCTGTAAAAACCTTTAAAAAATCCATGAAAAGTTTCTGCTTCTTGATGTTTAGTTTTACAGCTCACATCTAAAATCAATCATGTGATATATGTGTGGACAATTATCTTTTATTATACACGTACATTGTTCAATTGTTCTGCGTTTTTTCACTAGATTCTCCCTAAGGTTCTCTGAAACAAACAGATATACATTAATACGAAAAAAATGTATTCAGTTTTATTCTTAAAAAATGTTTTAGCCAAATAATTATTAGAGTAGGTTAGTAAGTTTGTACAGTTTATTGTTTACATCATGAACTGATCTCGTTCAGATAATCATTCTATACTGGAAAGTAATCAGTATGAGACTCTTGAGCAAAGTGGGTACACTCCTTGTCTTGACATTTAAAAGGGTGATTTTAGTAGACCACTGAGAGTTTTATACAAGAACGAAATAGCTGTGCTGTGGATGCTTATCTCTGGTAGTTGTTTAATTAGAATTAGTCAGTGATGTATGATTGATACTCATCAGTTTATTATTCGTCAATATAAGAAGGCATCCGTAGACATCTTCGTTAAGTTTATGTGATATCACTTAATACAGAAACAAAGAGTAGAGCAGATCCAAGAATCTTGTGTATACAATTGATATCATCGCTCAATCGTACTGGACCAATTACATTCATGTAATCTCCTGATTTGAAATTTGATGGGAAGATTTATATAATTCAGAACATTCAACTACTCAATTTTATGTTAGAAATCCTAATAGTGAACTCTATTCGAAATTCTTTGGACTGATTATTAGAAAAAGGGAATTTCAATAGAACATCATTCAAAATAACAAGGCAAATAAAATATACATGCTAATTTGTTACTGTACACATCTGATTGTACTATGCAATGAAAGTGTATTTGGAGTGGGTGAGCAAAGGTTGATTTATAAACCTATTCGTATACAACATATTTTTTTTAAAAATTACAAATTACTCCATAATTCACTTACTTCTTTTGTCTTTTAATACTTTTACAATTTCTCGAATATTAGTTGTACTATCTTCAACATTTTCTGTAATGTAGATAATTGTAAACATTCAATAAAAATGTTAATTTAATAAATCAGATTAAAACTTGATAGTTTCAGTAATCAATATTGATGTCGTCTTCATGAAAACCCTTGTATGATAATACCATGATCGATTGTAGAACACCGTGATACCGTTCAAACAACAGTAAGTGAATTTAAACTTCACTGCATTGCACAAGCAGGTGGCTATCAGGATTCAGTAGCTAAGTGGATGATGCGATGGCGTTTGAAGCGAACGGCCCGGAACGAAGATCAACACTGAGATGCGGGTACATCCAGCTGACGAGTCCCAGATAGGACGAAATGCACGTCCTGGATTCCTCTGCTATCCACTATCCATCTTTGCATATAATGCTTGTGAATTAAAGTCATTTCGAGGCAATCCGCACAAGATGCATATATGGCAACATGAGACTGATCAATTGCAGTCTTAAGTAACAAGTGAATTTACCAATCATTATTGATATATTAAGTAAGCATGATCACAGATTTATATTATTAATTATAGAAAACTAGCAGGATAATCGTAATTTGTACAACATGTTGACAGTCCTTATAGTAAACTACTGTGACAACACTAGTCTATTTTCCTCTTACATTCAATGATAACTAAACTAGAGTGATTTTGAAGTAAACATTAATGAAATCATTTCAAATGATATGAGCAGAGATACAATTGAATTTTAGTCAGTGTTGTGGATGCAGAGGAATAGACCAATAATTATCATGTTAAGTCCAATGGTGTCCTTGGACATTAAATGGACATTTTCTATTGGTCGATATCTGTTCACTTGTTGAATATTGTACAAAATGTTTTTTTCTATTTTATGGTACGACATGGTGTGCTTGATTGGTATATAAACAAAGTATGTTTGAAATATAATGATTCATATCTCAGAGGTTGTGACTTGTGTTCTGGACTCAACAGGCTGGGCTGGACAGGGAAGTGGGACCGATCGAGACTCTAGGACGTCCGTTCGTGTTTACGTGTCACTGTAATCGATCGATAACACAGGGTAAAAACGACAGCAACCTAAAGCCATAACAGTCAGATTATTCAAAACAGATTTCAAAAGGTGTAAAGTCTTCCTTTACAGATCATACAAATTATAACATACTTATCACATCTTCGATTATTTTCTGAACACCTAAAGTGGGGAGAACAAAAGTCGTCTATACTATTACTAAAGTATAATACAAGTGAATCAGAATAATAAGGTTATCATCATTGCTTACTCTTAAAAAATACTCACCAAAAAAGTGTATAACAAATTGTAATTGGAAATGTTTTATTCAAGTTGATGTGTGGGAGAGAATGATAATGATTAATAGTTTGCTTAGTCAGACTTGTATATAGTATAACAAGCGTTAGATGAGCTATATATCCTCCTATCATTATTATTATTATTATGGACTGATTATTGGTTGCTGTGAGATTGTATCCGCTTGTTATTGTTGGTTTTTGGTGTGGAAATATATTTCGTTCTAGCAAGGCCAATCATGTGTTCTTGATCTGAGTTGTGTTGAAGTCCTATGGAGTAGACAGTGGGAAGGAATCTAGTGTAGATATTCGTCTAGGATGAATTAACTTCTCATTCGTGTAAACGTAGAAAACTGAGCATTTGTAACATAATTGAATAAATCACTGTTACAGTTAATCACTTAAACATGATTGGATATTCTACTTGAAAACAGAAATCGGTTAATAGTTTCAACGTATTAAATTGTTGACATATAGATGAGAAGTAATTACTAGCTAATTAGGAATCGACAGTGAACTAACTAAATCCTAATTGCATATTGAAAACACTGATTTATTTATATTGTTTTCAACATTGTTAGACATTTCTATATGTCATGTTCATAAGTACCGTACGATTTCTATGAATATATCATAGCATGACATTAAAGAAGAAGAATGTATTTGTAAAATCTCAACGAAAGAATTTGAAGTAAATCCAACGTTTCCGCCTAGTAATCTAGTTCACAATTATCGAATATAAATAGGTAGATGGTTCTTCGGTTCACTGTATACTGAATAAGTCATCCAATCAATGTTAACAATGTTTAAAGTAGGTATTTACATTAGTGTGTAAGAGACATATGGTGTGAAACGAAAAAGTGTTAAGATAACAGATTGTGTGTATACGTCAGTGAGAAGAACTGTAAACATCGTTAACGTCAATTGTATGACCTATTCAGTATAAACTGAACCGAATAACAATGTACCTATTTGTATTCGATAATTTTGAACTAGATTACTAGTCGGAAACGTTGGATTTACTTCAAATTCATTCGCTCAGATTCTACAAATATATTCTTCCTCTTTAATGTCTCACATTAACTCGGTACCCAAATTCGATGAAATTTAGACAACAGTTCTTATATATCATAATATGTTTTATAGAAGAATATTGTAACTATGATGATTAAAGCAAAGTTATAAGAAAACATTCAATATCAGTGTTCTATATGACTATTTCATATGATGTTTAATTCATAACATAAGTAGTACAGATTATCGAGAGACCCTCATGACTTACTTGATTTAACAGTAGCTTGAAGAAGTATTTCGAAGTATTAGGAAGAATAAACAATTTCAATGAAGTTACAATTCTAGACAATCATGTATTTTGAAATTATTTACTAATGATGTATGTTCTTTCTATGATTATGTTTCACATTGTGAAAACAAGCTGTTAATGTCAATAATTACTTCATAGTAAAATTATTGACTGAATGATACCGGTTGATAGAAAGTGTAAGCCTATTTTGAAATATTAGATCTATTTCGAAGAGTATTGAGCTCGATGCCATAAATCAGCTTTTGTGTTGAATATCGGTTTACTCGTTCGATTAGGATGTACATTACACCATACACAATATTAGATATCTTCGTGATAAGATTTATAATGGATTATGTTGATTTATTTGATCACGAATGAATGAGGTCTAATATCTCATTAAGTTATTGTTCCCTTTAGAGCTGTGTATGTTTTACTATTTCTCTGGAATAATTGTAATAACTAGTTTTGTCTTGTGTGTTTCGATTATCATTTGAAAGTGGTATTTAGTTAGTGGTTTGATTCAATAAATTGTTGTCATTGTTCTGAAATGTACCAACTAATCGATTGAGATCTGGGACAATTTACTTCTCTGGCATCCATTTGAACTATTCGACACATGGTATTGTTTAAGATATTGATTGTTTCCCTTTTGTCAGTCTAATCTAGAAATTCATACAATTTGCAGAGTAAAATACTCTCATGAATCATTTAAATACTAAAAATATACAACAGTTTTCAACTATTCAATCTATCTCATTTATCTCAAATTGGAGAGTTTTACTGTCAGATTTATGGTTAACATATTCGTAGGTAGAGTAGGTGTATTTTCAATGTGGCAAATGAACAGTTTTGCGGCTACTTTCAGATAAATTCTTGCAGGACAATGAGAAACATAATGATACAAGTATTGTTACAAATATGAAATATGTGGAGAATATAATTTGATGACTTACGATAATCCTTAAGTTCTAAAATGATGTACTTAGTGAACTATTATAATAGTTACAAGAGTGTTGTTGAATATCTCACAACTGAAAGATAGCAATGGATATATAGCAGTCTTCTAAATTTACTTGGTATTGTTTGCTTGAATCTTCTCATTGATATTTAGGACTGCAACTGATCAGTCTCTCATTGACATATGTGCATACTGTGCGTATTGCTTCGATATTACCTTATGTCAAAAGCATTATAAGCAAAGATGAATGGAAGCTAGCAGTAGAATCCAGGACGCGCGTTTTATCTTATTTAGGACTCGAAGTGAACATCAACTCTGGGATGCAGGTACATCCAGCTGACGAATCCAAAATATGACGAAACACACATCCTGAATTATATTGCTAGTCACCATCCATCAGTGCTTGCAGTCTCCTGTTTCAAATAGTTAGGTAAATGTGGAAATAAATGCGTTGAAATTTTCAAGATTATCTCAGATTTATATAATAGGGATATTAGTAGCAATGGTAGCCGAATAATGGTTTAGTTACAGTTGGTGTATATACACAAAATAAACACCGATTTAGGCAGTGTGAGTGAAGTTTGATTTAATTTGTACGCTAACTTTGCTATTAAATCTCTGTGACTTAACGTTAATAATGAGACTATCCGTTCTCGATTGACATATGACAAAAGAGACCTGTCACCTTCAGTTTTAAGTAGTAAAATGGTACAGCGAAAACACTCATAAACGAACGGACAATATTATAAAGACAAAACTTTCAGAACCCATGGATTTCGTTAATCATTAGTCAACCAGTGAAAGTCTAATGGGGATTCTAATGTAAGATCGGAAACTGAATAGTGATTTTGGTACAATAGATTGCTTTCAACAATGTGAACTGGGCGAACTAATTAGTTGAGAACAGCTGATAACTATCCTCGGATGGTTTTCTTTTTCGAGTACCCATTTGTATGATTTAACATGCTGCGTTATTTATTGTATTATCATTTTTAAACAGAAATATACGACATGAAAACCGGAAGGAGCTTATCTTGGTGAGAGTCAAATTCAAACGAATTTTAAGCGATAACTTCATAGGATTCATGGAAGAAAATAAACATATCAGTTACTTAATTGATGTGACTGTACAACTACATTCATAAATATTTGGTTTATCTTATCTTTTGCAGCTTTTGATCATAAATGTTTTTAACTGATTATCTTAGTGATTGATAAATGATTGTAAATATCATCAAATTATATTCGATTACTTACCATTTATGACTTTCGTTTTGAAAGCTATGGAACAAGATGTTCACATAAGACAATAAATATACTTGATATTGACATTAACTAATACTTTTTTCATCCCCACCCTATTTATTACCAATTATTAATTGACGTTAATTCGTTAATTTCTAATATGTCAGTTGTTGAGATCATGAGTCAATTGAAACTAGATCACCATGGAAAACCTTGAAACACAGGGAGGCTGTTTCGTCCTATTGTAGGACTCCTCAGCAGTGCGTATCTACGACCTCGCCTCGTGAAATTCGAACCCAGGACCTATCAGTCGCGCACACCAGCGCTTAACCACTAGACTGCACTTCTGAGGAATCCTACAATCGGACGAAACAGCCGTCCAGTTCTCCCAAGTTTCCCTTAGTGATCTAGCTTCAATTGACTCATCATTTCAACTATTAAAATCGCTATAACATCTACATAAACCCTTCTGATATTAATTTTTAACATCACTCTGTAGACTACAATCATTGTTTAAATTTGATATATTGATTGTACAAATTGATGAAATGTAACATCATAACATAAGAGACTTTGTCTTATAACCAAATAGAGTTAGATAATATATGTCTATTGAAAGTTTGTACTACTTAAAAATCAGAAAATGCACATTTTTCACCATCTCGAAATGCACATTCTCATTGAGTTGATCAAATCGATTCCAAGAAAAGCAAAGTACAACACATTATAGTAATAAATTTCTGCATTCAATTATAAATTCCTTTAAAGTGAATGATGGAATGTAATATTAAATAACTTACCTAATATAGCAGCTTTAATTAGAGAATTCCAGTTAAAAGCGCATATGAAATAAGAATGAAAACCAAATTCTTATTTAATGTTGAGTGATTTTCTGCTATTACCACTTGTTATAATACATTTCGGTACTTCGTTAGTGATTAAAGTTATGGGAGAAATTAATTATATTCTTAGCTCAAAGGAATTTGTTTTAGTGACCTTGAACTGAGCCAAACGCAGATGTAAGATAATCAGAATGAAACTGTTATATATGGATGATAAATTTCAGTAAATGAAAACATTCCATAGAATACAGGGTTTTAAAATGTTAGAATATTACTGTCTTACACTAAACATTCAAGCCCGAACAGTTAAAATACAATCTGAGTAAGTATCATAAATATTACCCAAAAAAGAAATGCAAAGTTACGGTGTATATGTAGGATCAACGTGATCATCTTAAAAACGTTCCATTGCCAATTAACATTTTGACAATCTGTAGTTCACTTTGAAATAAACTCGTCTCCTTATTTCTTAACCTCTCCACTTTTCGCTTGCTACACACAGTTATACTAATAGCTATTTCTCAACGGTCAAACGTTTTACAGATGATTGAAGAATATGTTATCATTCGAATTGATTAAGGTAGAAAAATCCTATCAAAAATGAGTTTTTCAGTATCAGAGTATCCTTAATTGTTTGCTGCACTCAAATTGTTTACTTCTTTCTGTTTAAAGGACAGCAGAATGGTTATTGCCATTAAAAATGAGTGGCAATTGTGGTTAGCTGACTTTATCAACTAGGTAGGAAATATCAAAATGCATTCGTTGAAACTAAGCTAGTATTGATTAAAAATAATGTGTCTTATATACTCAAATAAGGTTGCTACTTTTCTTAGTAGAATGCACACCATGTTTGAATGTATATTTTTATTTCTGTGGTTGGACCACTTTTGCAATAAAGGCGTTGGTAAAGATCGATTAACTGTTCATATTAAGCACTAACTCAGGATATATTCAGGAATAAATGTGATACAGAATTCACAACAACTCCACCTGCAGCCCTTCTAGGGTTACTGCCGGTCCGAAAACCGGGTAAAGGAGGAGGGCTGGGCATGCGGTAGGCAACTTCATCCCGTAGAACGCAACCATGTCAGAAAACGTCAACCAGAATTAACAATCTAAACCATTTATGCTCTACCTTGAGAGTTGTAATATTCTTCATTCAGAAGAATTATGATGCCTCATGATGAAAGCCGAAATTCTTCGGAAGTCACGAGGCCGATACCTCTTCTAACAACCAGAGAGAGATGCTGATGTACTCCGGTCACGAAGAGGACAATGCTCCACACACTCAAGGAGTTACTCTGACGCTGTCCAAAGTAGCACGAAATGCACTTATAGGATGAGAATCTCATGGATCCAGGATTATCAAAGTATCATTCAAAATATAAAAGGAGGAAATCAGAATAAATGTTATCCAATGGTAGGTTGCAACTGATCATAGCGAAGTATTCAGGACCTGACCATCCTGATAGCAGACCTAAACGCCAACGTCAGAATGGACAACATCAGGCATGAATATATCATTGCACAACATAGATTGACGGAGAGAAAGCAACGAAAATGGTGAGAGATTCGCAAATTTAAGTCCATTCAACAAAATGGTTATAGTTGGTACAATATCCCCATACAAGCGCATACACAAAGCTACATGGATCTCACCGGGCCACGCTACGGAGAACCAGATAGATCATATTTGCATCAATAAAACGTTCCGAAGGACAATGGAAGATGTGAGAACCAAAAGAGGAGCTGACATAGCACCAGATTATCACCTAGTTGTAGCCAATTTAAAGCTGAAGCTAAAGAAACAATGGACAACTGGGAAAACTGCAACACAACTGATTAATACAGTCTTCCTTTGAGATACTGACAAACTCAACGAATTCAAGATAACTCTCAACAACTAGTTCTAAGCCCTACAAGATCTACTGAATGAAGGAGAAACTAGTATGGATGATAACTGGAATGGCGTTAAAAAATCATTAACCTCGACGTGTTAAGAGATTCTGGGCCGCAATAAGCATCATCATGACGAACAGATCTCTACGGAAATCCTGCACAAGATTCAAGAAAGGAAGAACAAGAAGACAACAATTAACAACAGCCGAACAAGAGCAGAGAAAGCTAACGAGCAAACTGAATACACAGAAGTAATCAAGCAACGACAGCGGAAAAGGCTTCAAGAAAAGGAAATATGAAAGAACTGTATAAAATGACGAAGAACCTATCACAGAAATGTGGCGAACCAGAGAGACAAAGAAATTTCACATATTCTTAGATGAAGCAAATTTTTGCGGATATCTATATATTCATCTCTAATTCAAGATAAATTTAGTGAATATACCTCCTTATTAGTACTGTTACATAACTTTCATAAGAATACAAGAAATACAGTGACTGATTTGACAATTCATGCATCATTTATAAAACAAACTAGGTAGAGAACATTGTCTGGTAACTTACGATCATTTCCAAATGCTATTAAAAATGCAAGATATAAGGATATACATATATAACGGTGTATCTAGAAGCATGCATTACTTTGAAAGTAATTTAAGCGGTTGTATTTGATTGCTATTGAGACATAAATTGTATTTCTTAGCATAAATATTAGTTAACAATGGTAAGTCATTGATTCTTATAATTACACTATCGTCTATCATCATTGGTATATTTTAGAAAATAATTTACGAAGTGACTGAATGATATCGCTACTAATAAGTAGTACTAAGGACTAACGGAGATTCATTTCGATTAATTAGAATAACGTTAAAATATATTCACCAGGTATTTGGAAGCTCCTTAATTTTCGTTGTGTTAGTTGTAGCAACATAGTAATTCATTGATTTTGTAGTATCAGAATAATCATATTAATGTCGATCAAGTGAGTAGATGTTCAGAAATTTTGACACTGATCATAGAGCACTGACAGTGTTGTTTTTACCTATTCTGTCTAATTATCAACTTGTAGCGGCTGTCCACTCTACATTGTTCATTATGGAAATGTTGAGTCCTTTAGTGAAAAACATAAATTATTTGAAAATGACATTGATGAGATGATTTGATCGAAATATGTCGACAGTTTTATGTAGGTTTATACCAGATTACTGTCTATATTTTCCATTACATCTGATTAATGATTATTGAAGCATGGGATCATTTACCGGTCGTTTCTCATTACCTAATGATATATGGTTTTGTCTTGATTTCAAATTATGTCAATATTTAGTGACAAGACACGGGTTTCATCCTGTTTAAGAGCTCTCATGTTCATTAGTTTGCATTACCACTGCGAAGAAATCTAGTTTGTATGGATTTTCACATCAGCACCTATCTATTAAAAAGAAGCGATGTTTAGCTAGTTCATCAATTGGTAAGACATTCGTTGGGTTTTGAATCGTCACAAACTAGATATTCTACTACCTACAAGAATATGGAAATAAATCAGAAACACCATTTTCAAGTAGGGTTGTTAGTGCCTTGTACTAAACAACAGGATGTTGGTTTTGTCTTCTAAGGAACTATGACATTACAGGCAGTTATCTACTTCGGTACAATGGGAGATGGTCGCGCAATTTGGTAAATTGGTTGAGGTTAGACATTAACACCATTGGATGCCAGATCAATGGCCCAGTAGGTTAAGCGTTTGCGCCCGACACTGAAGGCCCTGGGTTCGAATTCCGTGAGCGGGATTGTGGATGCGCACAATGGGACGAAACGGCCGTCCAGTGCTTCCAGGTTTTCAGTGGTGGTCTAACATCAGTCGGTTCATGATCACAATAAACATCATTACAAATTGTTTAAATGAATCTCAATATTGAACTGGACTGTTGTATTATTATTTTAAACATGAAATATAATAAATCGTATTTCGATAACAATTTATTTTGACTTACAGTTTCCTACTGCAGCGTTTATAAGCGCGAAACTCACAGCTAAATAAACGAATATTATGTTGTACATTTCTCCATTAAAAATACTCTTTCATCTTATTTATACTAATAATAGATGATGATGATTTGCTAACTATTATTCTACCTCCATAATCTGTATTCATTGGTTCCTTTGAAAGTTGACTCTTTCAATTTTATTACTGCTGAGAAAATAACTACAATATATGTAACTACTACTATGTATTTTAAAAACGTGTTTTTCTACTGATTGAGACAATATCAAAATAGATCGTTGCAAAGTTCAAAACACATTTTGATGTTATTATTTATTCAATAGTTGACATCATGAGTCGATTGAAGCTAGACCATTATGAGAAACATGGAAACACTGGACGGCCGTTTCGTCCTATTGTGGGACTCCTCAGCAGTGCGCATCGACGACTCCGCCCAGCGCGATTCGAATCCATTATTATTATTATCATTATTATTATTATTATTATAGAAATTGTGCATTTGAAATTTAATAAATTTCTTTGTTTCGTGTATTTTTATTTAGAATTGCACACCGTGGATTGTGATTCGAATTGAAATGATCTACTAATGGCAGCTCGAATTTATACTATGGGATGGAAACAGCAGTCTCAACAGATTGGAGTTTCCTCAACAAAGCTGTACACCTCATGTTTGATAAAAGCGGTGGAATCAGCACGAAATCTCATCATTATTAAAAGTGGGAAAATAGTGGTTGGCATCCTATGGTGTTAGTGTCTAACATCAACCAATCCGCGAAATTGCGCGACCAACTTCCATTGTACTGATGTAGATACCTGTCTCTACCCGACACGGTGCGGGATCGTGGATGCGCACTGCTGAGGAGTCCCATACTAGGACGAAACAGCCGTCCAGTGCTTCCAGGTTTCCAACGGTGGTCTAACATCAATTGATATATGATCTCAACCAAAAACTTAACAATCTCCACAACCCCCATACTGATACTAAATTTTCAACAGTTGAGAACATGAGTCAATTGAAGCTAGACCACCATGGAAAACCTGGATACACTGGACGGCCGTTTCGTCCTAGCTCCATGATTATGTTGAACCACCGGTGTCAACAATGATAAGGAAATCATGTGGATTAAGATAGGCGAATGTGAAGTCTATAATGAGAGCACTTTTCTCACCCATTCTACTCGAACAAAATTGTACTATAACGATCTACTCAGCATCAAGCCTGTTTTTATAACACAAATCCGCCAACATTCAACACATTAGTGTTCATAGTAAAACAGTGATTTGAAAATCCTAATCAACACAGAAATCAGTTTAAATCTAGGGTTTTAGAATCTCATTATCAGCAATGCAATCGTGTGATTTTATGTGTTGTTTTACATAGATTACAAAATTTGTTTTGTTTCAGAAAAATAACCTCCATTTCATGTGACCTCAAATGAAAAAACGGCAACAAATGAATCTATTGTGTAGTAGCTTAGAAATTCCTACCTAATTGGAAAAAATCTAGTGATATAAGATGTTGATATGTACTTTGAAAGTCAAATACGTTGAGATAAGATGATGTTGGAGGAAGTCAATAGGTTAATTTGAACCGGAGTTCGCTCTGTTGAGCACTCGTCGACAAGCTGTAACTAAAATCCTGAGGGAAATGCTGTTCCCTTAGGGATTAGATTCCATGTAACCCTTCTTCACAGTCAGAGACGTTAGCTTAAGAACTCTAATAGAGTACCAATTTCCCAATTTCGGGGAAGCCGCTATGGAAAATTTTGGTGATCCAATCTAGACAATGAAACATGATTAAGTATTGGTTTGAAGTATTTAAATTGTAGTACAAACTATGAATCCCAGAAATAATGCAATTTAACCAAGAAGTAATAATTGAGCACGAACAAACGTAATGTATTTAGAATTTGAAATCAAGCAGTCATCAAGTACAGAAGGACCATTAGATTATTCAAACACCAAAGTTTACTATTCACATGTTAACCCACATCATCAATGAAAACGAGATCTGAATGGGCATCCAAACTAGTGGGAAAATCTACTACATCTTGGTAGCCTAGTGACGAAAAAAAGCTACAGTCACATGAATTGAAATTGTCACATACAGTTGAAAGTGAACCACTGAATGCAGTAACAACAAATTTAGTGAATTCATCAGCAAAAACAGATAATGCAGATGATGTGCAATCTGGAATCACGTAGATGTTGGTAGCATAAACATACTTGTATTTATTCAAATGTTTTGGACGGTATAATAAAGTTAGACAGTCGATAAAGTCATGGTAAAACTTGAAACATGCAACAGTAGATCGACACCAGTTCATGTTTACAAACGTAGCTACACCGCCGCACCTCTTTTTTTATTGCTTGATCAATTCGGACAATAGATATTGAAATCACATGGAGATACTAAGCGATCGTCCTGTAAATCAATTAACCAAGATTCTTGAACTGTGATGTGCTATGATGAGTTGTGATGAAATTTTAATAATATAGACTTTCATCCCATGTCCTTGAACACCAGGAGCCTCACAATTACGATAACTCACTCAAGAATCAAGAGTCACGTCGAAACGTCGGTGGTATCTGACATTCGGCCTAATACCCTTCGTTCTGTATTAATAACAGTGTTTCGTATCACTTAAGCCTTTACTGCACGTAAGATACAACGTAACATTTGATTTTATCTTGTTTGTTTGTATTATTGTGTTAGAGGAAAGCAAATCCAAACATAAATTTCCATAATATGCTCGTATTTTTCCAAACCAACCACAAAACATCATTGTGCGGAAACGTTTTGCACTGTTGCATGTCGGGTTGCACGTGAGTGGATCCCACAAGAAGTTATGTCAAGATAGAATGGGATAAATCCTCAAAATATGCGTTGCGCATTATTCGAGAATAACATTCCATCATCATTGCATAATTGAACCTTTAAATATCAAATTAAAACTAAGAAATATTAATTTTAATAAAATAATGACTTTTGGCCACGAATAGTTTGCCGAATTTAGGGTTTTGTTTTAGTACCTCAGAAAGACACGAAACAATGAGTCGTCGGCTTTAAACAACTTTTTTCGAAATTCTCACGCCACACAGCTTGGTTATTTGTATTGTCCAGAACTTCGATTACTGCTTTTGATCAGTCTAACTTAAGTTGATTGTCTCTTTGAGAATAATAATTTACAACTTGATGAAATTGCTAAAAGGTGGGCTCAAGTTGCCAGAGACTTGAAGTTGATGGGTTGTCCCAGATCAACTTATTATGAAAGGTTGCGGAAGTTAAAAGTTGAATTCATCAAAAACTATCAGTTAACGAGCAGTGGCGATGAGAACGACAATTCAGTTGTCGTCACAGAAGTAGGGACCACCGCAGTTACAGAGTAGTGTAACTATATTGTCTCACAAACGGCCACTGCTTCATGTAGCTACGTCCAGTGTTCTGGCAGTGCAGCCGACAGTAGTCTAGCTTTATTTATTAACAATGTATAGATGGTGTGATTTCAGAAATGTCTCCAGCCATTCATCTTTCAATGAAACAACAGCTAGACAGAATTGTCTTTGGGGTGATGGAAGGAGGTGAACTAACCGTGAAAAAGGCTGACGACATTCTGGACATTTTCGGGGGCACATTTCGGAACTTCCCACATCAGTCCGAAGTTTTCTACGTCGATGCAACAACATGGAGCTTTAAATTCTGGAAACCGGAATCTACTACCATTTGCGATTGAAATCAAGTTCGCTGTGTAGCGGTTAATAAATCCCCAAAATAAATAGCTCTGTACGTTTTCGACATTGGATGCTGACCACATGTTTTAGTGAACTCACCTAGCTGAGAGCGCTCGGTCATGCATCCGCATCAGATCACGTGTGGTAACGCCGTGCTCAACATCTACCGCAATCGCTAGCCAGATTATATCAGAGAATTCTGATATATTGCTTATCGCCAAATACACTCTTCCAATCTCGATTCTGTCTTTTGATTTCTCTTGGTGGGTACGAGTTATATTAGAAGGTGCTGTTGGTAAAAGCGTTGTCAAACACTGAATACCTGTGCCGTCTTCATTGGTGAGACCGACGTGATCTGGTACACCTAATTGCAACTGTGAGTCTGTTCCTTTTTGGGATTTTTATACATTATGGCCTTATTTTTTTATACATTGTGATATTTTTCCCGTGTTTCAGGATATTTATATATTTTCCCATCGTATTTTCGTACATAATATTCCCCTATGACCGAACAGACTCCTAAGGTATTTAAGCTTAAGATCATGTCCCCACCCTCGTTCCAACTCATCCCTTTCTGGCCCGACAATATCAAAGCGCGGTTCTGTTACGCAGAAGCCGACTTCCACGAGCACGGCGTGAACGACACACGTGCACAATTCCTCGCAGTAGTCAAGGCACCATCGCGGGAATTCAACAGGTACGTAACACCTAGCATGTTTACTAGTGATATTTCTGAACCTTACGAAACCTTAAAACGTTCGATTCTTAAACGAGGAGACCTAACCGATCGACAAAGGTTAGACCAACTCTTTAATAAAATAGACCTGCAGCACGGACATGTTGCAAAGGATGAGAGAGTTTATAGGACTAAGAAATTTCGACGAAGGCCTATTCAAACAATTTTCTTGTCTAAACTTCCCCAACAGGTGCAAGCGGTTCTAGTCTCGTTTCAGAACAACGCTTTAGACGAGCTGGCTGCATCTGCCGACCGCATTTTAGAAATTACGAAATGTTCTACGACAGAGGTTTTTTCATTCAAAGAAAAGCCTCAAACCACTCAGAATGACATAACTGAATTATGTCATACACTTACACGCTATCTTAATTTTCGTAACGACCGTAAGCGATCGCACACTCCACGTAGAAGCATTTCACGTAAGCGATCTGTCTCTAGACCATGAGAGACGGATAATCCCGACTGGTGCTGGTATCATAACCAGTATAGAAAGTCTTCCAGGAATTGCAGAAAGCCCTGCAATTTTCCCAACACGAAACCGACTGATTCGGGAAACTTCCAAGCCGGCACGCGTTAACGGCAACCGTA